GCTTGTGTCCCTGTGTTGCATTTAAAGCACTAAACTAATAGCTTGTTTGATAGCTATGCTTGTGTCCCTGTGTGGCATTAAGAGCATCGGATCGTCCCCATCATTTGGGATCAATATATATAGCTCGTTTAACAGATAGGCTTGTATCCCTGTGTGGAATTTAAAGAGTTGGATCGTTCACATCATTAGGGATCAACATATAGCTTGTTTGGTAGCTAGGCTTGTGTCCCTGTGCGTCATTTAGAGCACTGAACTATTAGCTTGTTGGACAGATATGCTTGTGTCCCTGTGTGGCATTTAGAGCCTGGATTACTAGCTTGTTGGATAGCTACACGTGTGTCCCTGTGTGGCATTTAGAGCCTGGATTAATAGCTAGTTGGAAAGCTACACTTTTGTCCCTGTGTGGTATTTAGAGCGTTGGATGGTCCCCATCATTTGGGATAAATATATAGCTTGTTGGATAGCTAGTCTTGTGTGCCTGTGTCGAATTTAAAGCACTGAACTATTAGCTTGTTGGATAGGTATGCGTGTGTCCCTGTGTGGCAATAAGAGCCAGGTGGGTTGTATCCTGGTTGAACTTATAGCTTGTTGGATAGCTACGCTTGTGTTCCTGTGTGGCATTTAGAGCCAGTTCGGTTGTGTCCTCTGGTTGACTCTGATAGCGGACGAGTTGTGCCTGGATAGATACGTTAGAGAATTTGTGGTGGTTACTTCATACTTTTCGTCGGAATATTGTTCTCATTGTGAAAATACTTAAAGAATGTGCGCGCCCTCATGAATTATATTGAATTATATCATATTTCCCGAAAGTTATTTCTGAGTTGATATTTAATTAAACAAAAAGGTTTCTTGAACTTAACTCTATTTGATTTTCTCCTTTCTTATATCTGCAAACTAGTGCTGGACATCGATATGGTAAATTACTGTCGTTTGCTGTTAAAATTAAGGAATTATATAAAAAAAATCTTCAAGAAACAATATAATACAAAATGAACAAATATGGTTGAGATGAAAAAACTACCTTTTCTCCACACCAGTATGCTGAGTCCATTAGCGCCTGATCCAATCAGGGTTCAGTCATTCAGTCATGCTAAACCAATATAAATAGTGCGGTAACATATATCTTTCTTTCTATCTCATTAGCCAATTAGAGTTATGAATCCTTCAATCGGCGCTATCAGTAAATGATACGAATGTGTGCTAAAATATTATTGAAAAAAAATGCAAAAAGTTAATCTTACTTATTCAATTCAATCGTTTACGATCAACTAGCATTAACTATCAACCATTGTTGGCGATCAACTATCATTAACTATCAACCATTGTTGACGATCAACTATTATTAACTATCAACCATGGTTGACATCATTAACTATCAACCATGGTTGACATCATTAACTATCGACCATTGTTGACGATCAACTATCATAAACTGTTAACCATAATTGATAACCTAAATATCAAGCAGTCAAAATCTTGGACAATCGTTAATTAAAAAATTATTTATGAACGGGACGCACCGGGTCGGTTTGGAAAACACAACGGCCCGGTACAAGGGTTGCTATCTATATATCTCTCAAATCACCTAGACTCTGAAAACACAACGGCCCGGTACAAGGGTTACTATCTATATATCTCTCAATTCACCTAGACTCTGAAAAATCTTAAGGCCTTTTTAAAAAATTATGAACAACGGTTACAAAAAACCAAGAACCATGTTCAGTCCTATACTAAAGGAAATATCAAATCTGGAAATTTTCCAGAAAAAAAAATAGTTAATTAATTTAACAAAGTTTTCCAACTTGGCTACCTTCAAAGGAAGAAAATATACAAATGCAAAACAATGGCGGTCCGAAAAAATGACTGAGGATATTATGCCTTTGAAACTCATCCTAATAAGATTGCATCATATATTACAATACGCATATCACGAAGTTAAAACAAACGGTTTGGTTTTTGCTGAAATTAAGCTTTTTCAAGAAAATACCAAAAAGAAGAATTGTTGTAACAGTGCGTTAACACACTTTAAACACTTTCAACAATTTCTGCAGAATAACAGGGTGTCCAGCATGATGTTTTTTCTTTGAATATAATTGGCATATGTTTTTGTCTCCAATACACGTCAAAACGGCTGAACCGATCCGGCCCACAATTTTAGTCTATTTACATATTAAAAGAAGGGTTTAGTGTAACGGTGTTTGTTTGTATCCGATAAACGCTAAACGGCTGAACTGATCGGGTCCAAATTTTAAGTCTGTTTATATTTAGCTTGTCTTGTTTCGGCTGAACTGATTCAAGCCTTTTAAAATACGTTGCACAACTCTTCAAACGATGAAAAGATACTAATTAACTAATTAATTAACCAATTAATTAACCAATTAATTAACCTATAATTAATTAACCTATAAAAATGTGGTCTGCCTTTTTTTGTGCTTTCAATTTTTCCGGAGAAAAAAAGCTGATATTTCTAAATCAAAAAAATATTTCTTTAAAAATTGTTAGAAATTCTCTGTAGTCATGTTTCATGGGACCAGGGACACCCTGTATACTCTACTCTATAGTAACTTTCATTGGGACACCCCGTAAATCTTAGAATTGTTTAAATTTAAACTAGATTTTAACATTGTTTTAACATTTTAAGATTTTTAGTTTCTCTTTGGAGACTTTGAGAACTTGTTGTTTAATTATGCAAACTTTTTAGCAGAAGAAACAAGAGTTACTACAATTAAATTAGTTTCAAACTTTCGTCTTGCATGAAACACTTAATTTTTATCATTAATGGCATTTAAGTGTTAAAACATACCTAGAACACCTGGAAGCAAACAAAACTATTCTCAAACACCACAAGGGATGAAAAACGACTTTTATTTAAGTATATACTTTGCATGTCTGTCTGTTTGGTTGTATTCAATAAACGTCAAAACGGCTGAACCAATCGGGCCCAATTTTTTGTGGAATCTTGCGTGACCCCAGGGAAGGTTTATGGATGATCGAATTTTCAATAATTTGCCTCATAAAAAATTTGTTTCTTTAAAATTTTTAAAATCCGCGATTTTTTTTATAAAATCCGCGAAATTTTTTGTTTTATAATGTATACGTAGAGAACATGTTCACAATTAAAATAAAAGATGGGCGCGATTAAAGCCTAGTTTAAATAAATATAAATAAAACTCAATGATAAATTTGTCCCATACCCAACATACAGGGTTACCCACAAAAGCAGTGCTTAGGATCCGGATTAGTTGGATCCGAAAGATCTTGGCTTCCTGCACGGGATTTGGATCCGCAAAAACAATTTTTCCTCCCAACCTAAATATGAAAAAAGAGAGATTTAAAAGGTTCCTGATCTCTGAATGGTTCATCAAGTTTTAGCATAAAAAAATTCAATAATCTTAAAGAATTGTTCAAGACCTGGATCCGGATCCTTATTGAAATTAAATGGATCCTAAGCACTACAGCTGCAGGAATTCATGGATATAAGGAAACATACAATATAAATTCCGTACAGTCGTCTCTGAGGTCTGGGTCAACTTTTGTAGATCATCTTAATTGCATCTAAGTCTGAAGACTAATTCTTTTTGAATTTTTCAAATCACCGCCTAGGTCAGATCCAGCTTTTCCTATACAGAAAACAGTGATTTCTGCAGCAACGACCAGGAAGGAAATTGATGGAATCTGTCTCTTATAAAAATTATAAAACCGATATCTTTCTCACTGTTTATCAAATAAAGGTTTAACCGCTGTGAATCTGGATTGAAACTCTATAAGTTGAGGTTCATTTCAAATTACTGTTAACAGTCCCTTTAATACACCCTTTAAAGCAGTCTCCTTCTCCTACGACTCCCAAGGGTGTGTTCAATCTCTTTCTACTTACTAGGACATTGCAGTGTATTTTATAATTTACTAAAATGGTGGTACACTCTAAACTAAGGAAGGGTAAAGTTTGTTTAAATAATAGATTAACAGGGTTACCCACAAAGGATGAGACTGTAAAGACGACCTGAAACTCTTAAGATATTACGGTTTTAAAGTTAAATAACATTTTCTGCCCTAATTAATATTGTCTTTTTATGTCCTAGTTAATAATGATTTGAAGATGATAGAAAAAAATGCCTAGAATCGTGAATATAAGGAAACAGACAGTCGTCTCTGAAGTCTCATCCTTTGTGGGTCACCCTGTACAAACCAAATCAATATAGGACTTAAACAAAAACAATGTTTCAAAACATATCTGGATTAAATTAATAGCTCGGGTTCCACGCAAAGCTCAAAAGTGCATAAATCAGAATTAAATTAAAATCCGTGAAAAAACAGTCTAGTGTCTATGAAGTCCAAACATAAACTAAAAAAATGTGGAATTACCACCCACTTTAAATAGTCATTTGCCTATTTATCAACACAAAATTTTAAGTCAATAATTAATTATTAATTATATTGAAAAAAGTATGTATTGTGCTGTGCATTAAAAATTTAGGAATAGAATTGCACAATAATGAAAGTAAAATAACTTTGAATTAAAAAATTTCCAGATTTTCTTCTATGTTTATCAGTATAAAATGGTCCAAAGTGATGCTTGCTCAGCCCGGAAAAAAGGAACATCCTTAAAAATTTAATTTGGTTGAAACTTTTTTGGTCAGTTTTAAGTTTTAGAGATTTGAATCTGGTCCACAAATATCGCCCACACTCTACCGAGTGTGGGCGATTAGAATTTTCAAAATATTTTGAGGAAAAATAGAATTATAACTTTTTCTGGCAAATAGTCGTTTATTTTCTAATTGAAAAAAATTCCAGCTTTTCAATGATTTCGATTAAACCATTCCTCTGATATTAGGCTGTCCCATGAATTGAGAAACTTAAAAACACAATTTTTTATTTCAATAATTTAATATAAAATCAAATACATCACAATAGCAATATGCAACATGTTGCCAAATTCAATATTTTAAATTTAAGAAAAATCAACATGGTTTCTTAAAAGCACAAAGTTTCAAATAACAAAAGCTTCTAAAAATCCTCGAAATAAATATGAGATAATCCATGAAATAGTTGAATATAAATCCGGGAATATAATCTAGAAAAGCAGATCTTCATCATGTTCCTCTTCAAATATGTCACCGCCACCATCCCCTTGGTCAAGACCTGAATATATCATTTTTTATTATTTATATTAAAATTTCTTTACTTATGAACCTAATGCACAATTTTATTCTGAATAATGTTAAATAATGATAAATATTAAATACCAATCAGGAGTATTTAATTGTTATCATCATTTAACATTATTCAGAATAACCCATGCACTCAGGTAAGTAATGGGTATCGAATAATATTTAAAAACTATTTTGGCAATCAAAAATATTTGTTTATTAAATTGACTTAGTTTAGATTTTTTGACAAGAAGTTAAATACAATCTAAGAAATAAAAACATTCATTCCTCTATTTTCTAATTACTCATAGCATTGCGATGGAATTTTGAACAAAATTTGGCCATAGTAGTTACTACCTCTAGCGATAGCAGTTTTAAGCTAAATTAGCCAATAGCATTAACTGCCTCTAGCGATGAAATTTTGTACTAAATTACCCAAAGCAGTAACTACCTCTAGCGGTGATATTTAAAACTAAATTACCTTGGGCTTTCCTGGAGGCGGTTAGGGCTTCCCTTTCGGCCTTGATTTTCTTCTTCTTGTCTTGAACCTTCTTCAAGCGGTAGAATTCTTCACGCTCAAGTTCATCTGATCAATTTATATTGTATAAATCAAATAATGGTTATCCCAACTTATAAGGTCTGTAGATATAATTATATTTATCTATAGGCATGTACGATTCACAACTGTACCATTGAACGCTTTTCCAGATCAAGAATGAATTAGATATCCATGTTTGTAATTTTGAAAACTGATTTCTCCACAAAATTGACTGCACGAAAACAAAGTAATAATTTTCGGAATTTAACCCTTTTCAAGATATAAACGAATTTATCCTCCAGAGTATCGTTGTGAATTGAGCATGCTCCTCTTAAAATAGAGGGTAGTTTAAAGTTACAAGAACATTCCCTTTACTTTAAACAAATCAAATCAGAAATCAGATTCCAAGTCTCAAAACCACAAAAAAAATGTACAGATAAATATTATAGTAATTTTAAAAGATGAATTCACAATGAATGGATAAATTAACACACCAGCAAAAGAATAAATTAATAATGAATTCTTTTTTTTTTATATTTGAGACTATGAACACATCGAATACTTCAAATTCAAAATACTCAATACCAAATCAACAAATTAAACTTACCTAACTCTGAGATGATGTAAGCAAGAGTTCTCTCTATCTTAGGAATAATAACATGCTCAATAGCATTCACACGCCTAATTAAAAAAATAAAAAATTTAAACTCATTAACACAAATGAAACCTATGCAATTAAATGAAACGATCGAAACAAATTGAAAGTATAAAACAAATGAAACGAATGAAACGGATGAAATGAATGAAACGAATGAAACAAATGAAACGAATGAAACAAATGAAAAGAATAAAACGAATAAAACAAATAAAATGAAACAAATGAAACGAATGAAACGAATGAAACGAATGAAACAAATGAAACCAATGAAACCAATGAAACAAATGAAACAAATGAAACGAATGAAACAAATGGAAAGAATAAACCAATGAAACCAATTCGAATTAATGTATAAACTATTTTGCATATGATAAATTCGCACCCTGATCTCTAATCGTTCTCCTTAAATCTATTTAATTGAAATATTTTGTTATTATTACTAACATTAGGTGGAAAAAATAATCAAAACAGCCAAGAGCTATTTTCCNACAGATACATTTATTTTAGCAATAAACTTTATCTTATATTATCTTATCTAACCAATGAAACCAATGAAACAAGTGATTAAACGAATGAAACGAATGAAACGAATGAAACGAATGAAACGAATGAAACGAATGAAACAAATGAAACGAATGAAACAAATGGAAAGAATAAACCAATAAAACCAATGAAACCAATGAAACAAATGAAACAAACGGAAAGAATAAAACAAATGAAACCAATAAAACAAATGAAACCAATGAAACCAATGAAACAAATGAAACGAATGAAACGAATGAAACAAATGAAACAAATGAAACAAATAAAAAGAATATAAGTAGGTGAATGACCTATTTGTGGTTTTGATGACCACATCTAGAGTAATAAACGAGGTTTGAAGACTGGCAAGCTCAACCAGTAGACTTATAGCCTTTCCTGAACATTTAAAAATTATTTTGTTGAAAATCGAAATCATTAAAGATTAAAGATTTGTTACAGCTTTTGATTTTGGGTTCGAGAGCATTTTACAGGGTATCCACACATTTAAGAAGTTATAATAATACCAGAGGCGTATACAGGAGGGAGGGGGAGGGAATTAAAGGCGTTATCAGGTTACAAGGGGGTTTTCAGGCACCAACAGGTGCGACAATTTTTGGTTGTATTTAATCGTAGTCTAAATCATTAAATTAAGATTGGCTTACTGACACACTTTCTAAAAAGTTGGTTAATGTCCTTAATGATAAAAGGGTGATTCTTTTGTGCCTTACTGGCCTAGCCTATCCATGGATAAACCTACGTCGCAGATTGATCCTTCATTTCATCTTAGGTCATGAAGTGCTGACATTTGTGGTATTCCTTTGAATTCAACGAATAAGAACTCCAATATAAAAAAATCTTTGTACCGATCGGGGTAAGGGCTCTAATTGGTTGTTAAAATTTATCAAATGCCTTTCTCATTGGCCAGACGCAACTGTGTAAGAAATGGATACTTTTCACTGATTTAAGACTTTCAACCTGAGGCCGAATTTAAAGAATTTGAGCCGCAAGTCAAATAAAAGACGCAGTTCAAAAATGATCGTTTCCACTTTAAATTGTATTCAGTGTTTCGAGATTAGAGCCGGCTCAAAATTGAAGTCTTGTCTCTTTTGACTGTCCTTGTTATTATTAACGAGGAACCATCAATGTTCCTCGTTAGTACATTTCTTAATCATACCGTTCCTTTTATTATGCAGCCTCAATGATAACGAGCAAACATAATCACTCTCTAATTTAAAAGTAATGAGCTAACATAATTTCTCTTTAATTTAAAAAAGAAAAACTAGCCCCCGTGCATGTAGTTTGAAAACATGCACAAAGTTATGTTTAGCACTTACTAATATGCGATTACACAAACTGTGTTTGTAATATCGCTCAGTCTTATTGCATACAAATATGCTATCCTTTCATAAATAATGTAGTTTGTTTTTTCTCTTGAATGGCTGCCTTATCAATACTTGAATATAAATGTATTATCAATTTTGGCAAGAAAAAACTATAAAAAGTATCCGTAAACCATTTGATTTCTTCTTAATTAATTTAAAAATGTATGTACACGATATTATCGTAAAATAGTTTTATCTAATACATGTAAACAATTTTGTACAATTAATATAATCTCGATACGGAGATAATAAATATCTAGATCTCAAAAAAATTGGAACCGGTTTTTGGTGATTTAGCGACGCGGTTTAAATTCTTTAAATTCGGGATCTGGCAAGTGAAAAAGTGTTCTTACCAAAGTTGGCCTTAAGTCTTTTAAGCTGTTGACCTCCCTTCGCCAACCCGGTCAGTTCATTGGTATCAGAACCATCCTATAAACATATCTATATATATAATTTGCTTGTCTGTCTGTTTGTGTCCCTAAACGTCAAAACGGCTGAACCGATTGGGCCCAAATTTTGTGGGGGACCTCACTTGACCCCAGGGAAGGTTTATGGACATGATCAAATTTTGAAGAATTTGCCTTTAACAAAATTGGATTTTCGAAAATTTTGAAAATCCACGAAATTTTTTATTAAGAAATCCGCGAATTTTTGTTTGTTTTTGTTTTACAATGTATACAAAGAGGAAATGTTCAACTGAAATAGAAGATAAGCTTAGTATATATGTATATATTAAGGTTGAAGCATTTTAATGAAACACAAATCAAGTAGTAAATACTACAGTGTTTTTTGCTTTTAAGCAACAATTACTAAAAGCATTTTTCGGTAAAACTAAAACTGACCATCGCAAACTGGCTATTTGTGGCCGAAAAACCGGTTATACAATTGATTTTTTTATTTTTTTTTCAAAGTATGTCTATATGGGTGTCAAAAGATCCGTCTTGCAAAGCTATATGTTTGTAAAAATGGTTAAAAACATGCGCCCTAGAACATTAAAGTAGAAAAAATTAGGGAAATCTGAAAATCAACTGTTTTTCCTAGTTTTTCAGTTCCAAATTAGTTATTTTCATTATTTTGTAAAACGGTTTTTTCCGTTGAATATGGCCTGGAAAGGCGGATCTTTTGATGCTATTTTTAGAAAAAAAAACACTCTTACTAGCGTTTTTTTATCACTAAAGGCCATTTGCGGTGGATAATTTTGATTTTAACGAAAAATGTCCTTTGTAAATATTTCTCAAATCATTCATTCTGATGATTGCATAAAATAAAAGCATGAAACAATTTTTTTATGAATAAAATGTTATATATATGAGCTAACAGATTTATCATAAAGATTAAATTATAGTAATAAATGTAGATACAATACAATAAATCTTTAAATAGTTGTTTACAATTCTTCATACATATAAATATATTATATAGAATATTGATAGAATTACTACTGAAGATTGCCGTAAGGCATAAAACATCATTTCTTTTTATAATAAAAAAAGTTAAGTTTTTAAAAAATGCGTGTATCTATTTACAAATTTTTCTTGTCTCTTCCTCTTCATCCAATAAACATCAACAGCTGAACCGATCGGGCTCAAATTTTGCGTGGCGACTCAGTCATAAGACACAAGGTAACCATCAAAATATAAAAATGTTACTAGAAAAGTTGGCTTTGAAAGTCCACAAACTTAATTTGGAATATCTGCAGAATTTGAGAACGATGAAAAAATATCGACTTTCAGAGCAACAGTTTAAAAGCTGAAATTGGTTATAGGATAAGGGACACAAAGCTTAGTATTTATAATGTATATATTATATATATTAT